GTTAGCGACCCTGTGACCTGTGACCTAGTTTACTGGAACATGACACGGGTTGACCTCTCGGCTAGGTCGGCGACGCCCGCATCTCGCATCTGCTATCCCGTTAGCTTTCACCTAAAATCTATTTAGCTGTACTTTCATTCAGTCATATCTGTACTTAAACGCAGCCGAATCTTAAAATAAACAAATTCGTTCATATTTAACCATTGTAGTTAATAATTAACCGGTAAAAGTTTATACTTATTTATATACTTTTATATGGAAGTTTAAACCATAGGCATGCATCTAATAATAATAAGTAACTATGAGAACCTATGAGAGAATTCTATAAAACATAAGTACAAAATTGCTGTGGGCGATGTAACTAATGGAAGCAAGCTATTTCTGGTTCACTGCAACACTAACTGGAACAACCAGAAACGATTGGACAGTGCATATGTAAGGATCCTGCAATCTTAGCAATTGATAATGGTCTATAAATCTTAACTTCAATCCTTCAACGACCGCGGACACGCCGGCGTTACAGTTAACAATAGATTTCTTAGAAATTTAATTAATTTCTTAGAATTTAGTTTACCTGGACGTGTTAAGTCTCGAAAAATCGACATAGTTTCAAAGGGATCGTCGACCTACTCGCATTGGTTCGCTGATACTCGCAGTGTTGGTAAGCTGTGACCTAATTACAATGAACCGTATATCTTGACCTGCATCGTGATCCCTTGATAAATCGCTACCACTGTTGTCGTTAATGTATTCATGTTACCTAAGATACTTAATATTCTATTCTATTCAATACATTAAATAAGAACAAAGACTGAATTATAATTAAGTAATAGATAGTGTTTTAATTTTATAGCACAACTAGCATTGCCCGCGGATCCGCCCGCGTTCAGATGACCAAAAACCAAATTCTTAGGTTTTACATATTACTATACTCTTACATTGCAGTTTTTGTATTTTTTAAAGTATCCTATATGTTGACCCGGATAACCAGCTATCATCATACCAAATTTCATCAAAATACCTCCAGTGGTTTTTCGGTGATGCGGTAACAGACAAAAATTCTAAAAACTATAGATTCGGCCTCTGCATCGATAATAATATCTATTTCAATAAGCTTTTCCAAAAAATATTTAATGTACAGATTCGGCTTAGTTACAATTTTAATATATGTATAAATTTAAAATAGAGTAAGAAAATAGCTTCAAGTTTCCATATTAATTTTATTCCTACAAAAAATTATTTAGTCAAAGGTACTTTAATGGTAACGCCTTCGCCAATGTGTCAGCAACTTTAGCGAATTGTATGACTAATTCCATTATGTCGAAAGACAAAGACCGACAAGATTATACATAAACAATGTGTTAGGTTTCAAGCATTAACTAGAAAATGTTAAGGGTGTGCTGGATAAAGGATAACTTTTGACTAAATAGCACCCACACTTTGCTTGCAGTACAAGGTAGTGAGGCGTGCCTTTAAACGTGCAGTTTGCGTCATTCGCCCTATAAATAACGCGAGAACGATGCAGAAACAAGAGAGATGAAACGAACGCCAACAAGCTGTACAATGAGGCAAATTCCTCGAAGATAATGATGGCAAGTGCAATAATATCCTGCTGTCCTCGATCTTGATTATCCACAATTTTACGAATGAGGGTTCCCTGTTATTTGTTTATCGTACATAATTTTCTTGTATTGTACAATCAGCAACACCCTTAGTGGAGATTGATGAATAAAATCCAGCCAGAATTTGCTACGCGTTTTTGTATCCATACTATAATATTTTAATGTGAAAGTGTTTGTTTTTTTGTTTGTTTGTCCTTCTTTCACGTCGAAACGGAGTGACGGATTGGCACGATTTTTATGTGGAGATAGTTAGAGGGCTGGAGAGTGACATAGGCTACTTTTTACCGCGGGAGATTATCTTATTCCCACGGGAAAACACGTTATAATACAACCCAAAAAAATATTTATGATCAGAATTACTTGAAACTTGGTATTAATACTCTTCAATACAATTAAATAAATAAGTATTTCAGCATTTTTCGAAATTCATCCCTTAAATAGGGGATGAAAAATTGTATGGAACCTACTTTTTTAGAGTTTTTTTGTATAGCGCGAGCGAAGCCGCGGTTTCTGCTAGTTGTATATAAATAGCAAATGAACATTCTTGTGACAAATCCTTTTGAGACATTCGCATTAAAATACAATTGAGGTCAGTTCCGCTCGAAAAAAAGATTAACTTGAACTGTAGAATAAATGTTGTAATTAGAAATACATTAATTTTGTGTTTTTTTTGTTTTATTTTATACTCTTCATATATAGGATCGAAGATAATTACGTCTATCAAAATATTTCAATATCCATATAATAGGTACCTACAAATTATTTCAAACGTACTATATACATCTATACCTACGTATAATAAAATTCTGAGTCAAAACTATAAAAATATTTTTTCAAAAATCTTATTGAAATAGTCATTATTATCGATACAGAAGCCAAAATCTACAGTTTTTAGAGTTTTTATCTGTCTGTCTGTTTGTCTGTCTGGGAACGCATCATGAAAAACCCACAAGACAAATTTATGATGATAGTTGACTATCCAGGTTAACCATATAGTATACTTTTTACTGCGGGAAAATATCTCATCTCTGAGAAAGCTATACAAAACATCAGAAACGTAACTAGGGACGAACCCGAGAGGCTCGAAGGTGAGTCGCTAGTATTCAAATAAAGCTATTATAAAAACAGACCTAAAAATAAATTTAGTATGACACTAAGAAATAAAACAGTAAGCTATGCAATATATAAAAACAATAGTATTGTTTAGTGTGCCTGCTGTGTTGACAGACATTTTAATAATACTCGTAATGTTATGCAACGTGATGTTGACATCTGAAGAGCGATTAGATAAGCTTTATCTGTATCAAGTTATCTATAATACATATAATAAAACTAGCATTGCCCACGGCTCTGCCCGCGTTCAGATGACCAAAAATCAAATTCTTAGGTTCGTTCATGGTATACTCTTACCACCCCCACCTTTATGTGTCTGTTACCTTTGTCTGTCTGTCTGTTACCGCATCACAGAAAAACCACTGGAGGGTTTTTAATGAAATTTGGTATGGTGATAGCTATGCCTATGGTTATCTAATAATAAAGGATACTTTTTACCCCGAGAAAATATCTCATTACCGAGAAAAAATGCAAAAACTGCAATATGTAAAACCTAAGAATTTGGTTTTTGGTCATCTGAACACGGGCGGAGCCGCGGGCAATGCTAGGCGGTTTATATAAAACGCAGTATTACTGCAATAATAGGGATAATAGGAAAAACTTATTTCCTTATTTGTAAATACATGTTGTATTTGTTTTTGTGTAGCACTAAAAATAGCCATTTGGTTCATACATCTATCTACCATGATAAATGTGGCTAATTTCGAAATTGATAGGATATTTCATTCATTTAATTCGTAATAACAAAAATGGATACAAATACACTCCTGAACAATACAAAGACGTAGATCATAAAAAATATCCTAGACGAGTATTAATTTTTTAAAGGTTCTACCTAAATTCTTCGAAAAGACTTAATGTAAGTTTAATTTTCAAAATAAAAAATATAATGAATATAGAGACAAGTAACAAAAGATAAAACATAATTATGGCTGACGTTAGTCATTTGAGGGCCTCACCCATATCCGCCTACGAATAGTAAGCAAGAAGTTTATTGATATCTGCAACAACACGTTAGGTAAATTAAAAAAAAAAACGTGTGTGTGTACTTATGCACGGACGTAAGAAGTTATACTTCTTTGGCGTAACAGAACAAAAATAGCTAAAGATTTCATCCTGTATGTCACAACTCTCTGTTTGTCAAAGGAATGCAGCTAAATTCATCATGTCGCTTTTTGGCTGTCGGTGTGCGCGCGCATCGTGAAAATTTTACTCTCATATTTTTTTCCAAACGTCCCAAATGAAGTATAACTTCAAAAAAACTAGATAATTTATCATAGAGGGTGACCAGCCTTATGGCCTACTCATAGCTTTGGACAGTAATATTTGAAAATCCATGGAGGAGGCTTTTACCTAAAGGGCTCCTTTCTATGGGATTAAATTACAATTATTATAATGTAACATATACACAAGCACAATTTTTAAGCTTTTAGTAACGCGATTCAGTTTATTTCTAACTACGTAACTAAGCCAAATCTGTACATTGAATATTTTTTAGAAAATCTTATTGAAATAATCATTATTATAGATACAGAGGCCGAATCTATAGTTTTTAGAATTTTTGTCTGTCTGTCTGTTACCGCATCACGGAAAAACCACTGGAGGGATTTTGATGAAATTTGGTATGGTGATAGCTGGTTATTTTTTTATTTTTTATTTTTTTTTAACGTTGGGAAATGCATTTACGCACGACGTGTGGGACTCACCGGCGTAATACAGCCAGTACTACCCACTAAAACCCAACAAAACCTTCCCCCGTCTTAATGGGGCGTCGCAGGATCGCTTACGCATTCAACTACGACGCCCCGACGGCAGGTCCGCCGAAGCAGACCACCACAACCATGGGGTTGCTCCACAGTCCACTCTGCTATCAGAGAAGTACCAGGAGCAACCCGCATGGTACACTGCCCTAAGAGGGCCACCTCCCACCGCCCACCGAAGTGGGCCACCTCCCTGTGCGTTTCTTGGCTTCGCGCCCGGTTGGGTTGCCGGGCACTACTGAGCCCCCCCACCACGACAAGGTGAACGCACGTTGGGGGGGATAGCTAGTTATCCGGGTCAACATATAGGATACTTCTTACTGCGGGAAAATGTCTCATTTCTGAGAAAAAATACAAAAACTGCAATGTAAGAGTATACTAATATGTAAAACCTAAGAATTTGGTTTTTGGTCATCTAAACGCGGGCGGAGCCGCGGGCAATGCTAGTTCAGTATATAATTACATCCTGACACATCTAAGTATAATTATGTTAGCGTTGGCCTTAATCATTATACACTTTCTGTATCATTGCATCTATCCGCATTTGCGTCGCTTCTGCCCTAGTTTCTGCCCTCCAAGCCCTTGACATGCCGAAAGTGGTCGCATTCGTGACTTTACCAAATGCACAATGCTTTTTTCGTTCAGATACTTCTTCAGAGACTTCAAAAATAGACCCTAATTTCACTAATGATAGTGAAAGTGCTAAGTGCATGCTATTTCTGTGATTAAATGGGTAGAGGAAATGTAGTGACAACTTGCACTGCCAATATCGGGTTTAATAAATCATATTGACATACTATAATAAAATTGTAACTAAGCCGAATCTGTACATTAAATGTTTTTTGGAAAATCTTATTGAAATAAACATTATTATTATTGATACAGAGGCCAAATCTATAGTTTTTAGAATTTTTGTCTGTCTGTCTGTTAGCGCATCACAGAAAAACCACTGGAGGGATGTTGATGAATTTTGGTATGATGATAGCTAGTGATGATAGCTAGCTAGTTATCCGGGTCAACATATAGGATACTTTTTACCGCGGGAGATTATTTATTTCCTACGGAAAAAAACGTTATAATACAATTCAAAAAAATATTTATGATCAGAATTACTTGAAACTTTTTATTAATGCTCTTCAATAAAATTAAATACTAAAGCACGTATTGTATATATATTATAATATATTATATTTTTTGAAATTCACCCTATAAGGGGGTAAAATAGGGGATAAAAGTTTTTATGAAACTACCTTATTAGGGATTTTTTGTAATATTATGCGAGCGAAGCCGCGGGTTCTGCTAGTTGATATATAAAATATGAACCGCGCGGGAATCGAATTTTATTACCGTAATTAGTCTGTTAATTACTATTTGTTATATAAAATCACAGTAAAAAGAAAATGTTACGTAATTAGCATTTTAGGGTTTAAATCAAATGAGATGTAGCAAGAGTCGAGCGTTCTATGATTACTCCCTGGAGAGGTTGTCGACTTTGAGCGATTTTGTTCTAGCGCGAGCAATCTTAAGTGCTAGTCAGCAACTTTCATGTCTGCACATTCTAATTTTAGATATTTTTAATACTTAGAATTTCTCTTTTATAATTTTACCCCTTCTAACTTAACAGTTTAACGTTGCGAAATAACAGTGCAAGTGTTAAATTGCATTCCCGAATACTAATATTTTTAAAATAGATACACATGGCTACCTTCATCTTATTAGAAAGAAAATGAAGTTACTAAAATTAATAGTAATAATAAGTATATATTTCAGATCAATAATCCATAGTAATTAGTTTTTATATTTATGAATACAATTAAATTTAATAATATATACTGAAAAAATATCAAAGTACACAGATTTGGCGATCGAGATTAAAACCCAATGGAAAGTAAATTGCACTAAAATTGTACCTATTAGGTATTATATCTAGCACCGGAGTTATTCCAAAAACACTACATCAAAGTCTTAATATTCTTAATATTCATCTTTCCACATACATACTTCTCCAGAAAGCAGTAATCTTAAACACATGCCGATTAGTACGAAAGTTTTTGTCACAATCCTAGTTACCCCTTTAAATTTCCCCCTCCCTTACTTTACACTTGGCTCAGGCCCGTGTATAGTAAGAATCACCTTCGTAACTGAAGAGATGTTAAAGCTTAATAAAAACTTTTTAACAAAAAAATAAAAACCGACTTCAAACAAAAGCACTAAAAAGTAAAAAATAACTGATTTTTAGTTTTCATTTACTATACATACTAAATCAATTATTTTCGAAGTCGGTGTGCTTTGCTTTGTATGGGCTGGCACCGATTTCGAAAATATTTGATTAGGTATGTATTTAATAGGTAGGCTTTAATTACTTAGCCAAAGCACACCGACTTCGAAAATATTTGATTTAGTATGTATAGTAAATGAAAACTACCAATCAGTTATTTTTTACTTTTTATTGCTTTTGTTTGAAGTCGGTTTTTATTTTTTTGTTAAAAAGTTTTTATTTTTCCCTTTTTACTGTAGACAGTAGTAGCAAAGTAAGGATTCTAACGTGTTAGGCGCGTCAAATCAAACAAAATAAGCCCAAACTCAAAGTATCTACTATTAGCCGTTGAAGAGTTCCACCTATCCACCTTCTGGCCTTGCCATCAGATCAGGTCAACAACACCAAACCACTGTACTATCAACGGAAATAGAAATATTTGCAAAGTTTCAAGTCAATATGACAATTAGAAGTAGGTTAAATCCATAATTAGCTATTTTTCCACCCTTAGGGGTGGTATTTTTTTTTTGAAATCTAAATGGGACCAATCTGGAAGTATACCCTTTCAAACAAAACAAAAATTGTCCAAATCGGTTAATAAATGACGAAGTTCTGAGGTAACAAACATAAAAAAAAAAAACAAAAAAAAAACAAAAAAAAAATACAGTCGAATTGAGAACCTCCTCCTTTTTGAAGTCGGTTGAAAAATATAATAATAATAAAATCTAACAAATAGTTTCTCCCCGATACTTAAGGGTAGTTACTCCACTGTTTGCAGCCGCATCCAGCGCCCAAGTATCGGCGACTCCCAACGGTCTGCCAATTAAATTAAGTCAAATTTAAAATCACTTACGGAAAAGTAAACACGTTACGAAAATGAGAGTAGCCAATCTGATTAGTCACCGTTATCCAATGACACCTTTGGCACATTTGAGCAGTTATATTTCTGAAACAAGCATAATTTACTTAGACTGTGGGCATTCATTGACTTATCCGCGTTTAGTGAATGGAATAATCACTCGTAAACACGCAGGTGAAGTTTATAAAAACCTTTATTTATAAGGTTATTGCTCTAACACCTGGACGTCATTTTTATATTCCACTTTAGCCAGAACTGGCATTACGAATTTTACATAATTCAACAGTTTTATTAAAGACCGTTCGTTCTTTTAGTTTTTATCTAGCTATTTTCATATATTTTCTGTTTACATTCATTAAGTAAAACTTATTATTGTCGTTAGTGTCGCGTAAATACCTTTTTGTTGAAAATAAATTTAATTTTAACTGTTATTTTCTTCTTAGTGCGATTTAAATTTGCTAAAGCATTAAGTGATATTAGTTTACTGGATATTGTTTTTCGTTTAAGCGCCAGACGTCTGGCTCGTATCTAAGTAGTTGTCTTTTATATTTATGTCACCAAATTAACTCCCACGTTGGATATACAACTAGACTCAGAGAAGTAATAATCCCACAGTTCCGTTGCACACAATCCTAAAATATATGGAAAGTTATATTTTAATATTTTTTAGGGGTCTGTACCCGAAGGGTGCTAACGGAATCCTATTACAAAGCCTCCGCTCTCCGTCGGTCAGTCTGTCAGAGGGATGTATGTTACGAATCGTAATAAGTAGAGAGTTGAAATCTTCACAGAGTATGTATGTATATCTAATTCCGCTATAACAACAAATAATAAAAATAAAAGATTTTTTTTTAACTTTCGTAATCGATCACCTAAAATAATAGGTATACATACATAGAATATAAGTCATGTTAATAAAAAGTACATGTAATATTGGTACGGAACCCTTTGTATGCGAAGTCGACTCGCATTTGGTCGATTTTTGTTATCGTGTTGGCTTGTTTTGTTGTTATTATATTTTCTTTTAAATTTGAATCCAGAAGATCTTCAGCATTTAAATTAATAAGTATTAGTCTTTTGTAAATTAAGTGGCTCTAGCAATAATTAAAATGGACTCTAACTAAAATTATTCAATATCTTCAATATTTTTTACATGGCATTTCAATATTTTCTATTTCTAACTAACTGCTAACGGATTTCCTTACATTAATGAATATCGCGTACCTAAAGGCACTTTAGGTATTTAATCTATACTAATATACTAATATTATAAATATGAAAGTTTGTGAGTATGGATGTTTGTTACTCTTTCACGGCAGAACGGATCTGGATGAAATATGGCACAGAGATAGATGATAGTCTGGAATAACACATAGCCTACTTTTATCCCAAAAAAATGTAAGTTTCCCGTGGGATAGGTTTGAGTTTGTTTTCCTAGAGGCGAACCCGAGCGAAGCGAGGGTAAGCCGCTAGTTGATGTAATAAGTAGACCGGTCTTTATTAAATTCGAAAACATTGCAGTCATAGCTTATACACACGTTTTGAAATTTTAGGTCTGACTTATACAAGTACTGATTTATTTTCTGATCCAAATAATCTATAATATATAAACAAAGGGTTAGTCACACCTATAACTCAAGAATGGCTGGACCGATTTCTATGATCTTTGATTTGTTGGATTTGTCTCCGCACCGAATAGCAGAATAATTAAAACATCAGAAAAAAAACACAAAAAAAAATTATATGGTTAACTCTGACTAATAACTATTTATATCTATTTAAAATGTACCTGTACGTAACGGACGAACCTGTAAGTAACGAGCGAAGCGAGGGTGAGTCGCTAGTGTTAAATAAATCCAAAACATTATTTAAATCTAACTTCTCTCATTTGCCAAAGTAAACTGCAATATTTTATCTAATAAACAAAATTTTATTTTATGTGTTTGTATAATCTTGAAACAGAATAATATCGCCTGTTTTAACATTACACATTACATTGATTCTGTGAGATCTTCGAGGGTACATTTATCTTAATAAGTACATATACACTTTCCAGTTTACGAGAAACGAGGCAATGTCGGTCATATTTTATATTTATTCGACGTGTAGAGATTTACCAGAGCTTTACATTATGAACATGCAAGTTGATCGTAACCTAAATTCTCTTATTTGCTTCCTAAACAATTTAAGTAGGCCTTTAGGTATTAAATTATTATTATAAAAAAAAATACGAAATTTTAAATGTATTAAACTAGTGACTTGACCTCGCTATGCTCAGGAACACACACACGCGCAGAAGCACATGCGCACACGCATTTATAATAGTGCTAAAAAATTTGCAACTAATCCATAATCTTAAGCGTAAAATAATTCTCAAAAATGCTCTAAAACAATGTACAATGTTAATATAAACATTATTTGCCATTAATATAAAAAGTAAGCCGTCCAATCTTTCCAATGACGCACAAAAGGAATACCACAGTAAGAATGCGGCCAAAATGCGGCGGATATGCCAAAAGATGAATAATAATAATCGGGGATATTTTTAACGTAAACATGCATGAAGCATTTGACTGGCAACAATTTCTGAATTTTC